GACCAATGAGGCTGATGACCTGAAAAGAATCAGCAAGATAAAATTAATTAAAAAGATTTTTTTTTTTTCCTAGTCTAGGGAAAATGAGACTCAAGGGAGATGTTCTAAGCTTACTTTATGAAACTGTTTCAAAGAGCAATCAGAATAATGCTTTCAGTGTTTATAGTGTTTAGGACAAAAAGTAACAGCTTTAGGTTGCAAGGCTCAAACATGACTGATTGTCTGAGGATTGAGAGGGCTGTGACTCACTGAAATAGATTGTCTTGGCCTATTAAGAAAGTCTCTGCAAATAAAAAAGTCTGGAAAACAGCTTTCAGTAAAACTGTTAGTGGGAGGGAACTGCATAAGTTACTGAAATCCTTTCTGAACTTATCTTTTAAATCCCAGGACTAGAGTAGAGGTCTGATATGGAAACTTTAAATACCAAGAGGAAAATGTGCACAGTTATAGAAATAACAACATGCAAGCAAGAACTGGAGGGGTCAACTCATTTACTTCAGTAAATATTAAAATCTTTTTATTTTAAATGTGTTTAACCCATAATTCATCTCCCACCAGAAACAGTCTTTTTATTTGTTGAGAGAGCTAGAATCCTCTCGAAAAAAATAGATGAGATTTGAACCTTAGCCAGAGATAAGAATCTGTCTCATTGTCAGATTGTGAATAAATGGAGAGGCAGAAGCCAAAATGTTTTTCAAAAATATGATTATCTAAGATTAGTTTGCTAAAGCTATTTGTATTTTAAATATTTCTCAAGCTATGTGGGCCTTTCTAGATCTTAAGAAAGTGCATACTTAAGACATTGAGAGGTGTTGGATGCTTTAGAAGATGATGTAATTCATATACTTAGCAAAAGAATTAATATAAATGAGTGGGGATTTTTAGACAAATTTGAGCTCTTAGCACTAAATTTTATTCCAATCAACAATGAATTATTCTTACAGCCTCTATATAATCATGAAGTTCATTATGGCACAAAGAGCTTGAACATTTTATAGATTACACCTAGAATTTGTGCTGAAGTAAGTGCAGTATTAAGCTGTGTTGCATTTCTCTCTGTAGTGTGGCAGTTTAGACTGTACATTCCTTGAGAGAGAAATGGTGTGTCTTTACAGAATGTAAAATAAAATGGGACAAGATCTGAAAATGCTCTGAAGTGGCTTTATAAAGCAATTTTTATGCTTCCAAAATAGCCCAATTAAATTAACTTCCTAAACTGTATCAGCTAAAGAGGGGTCGTAAGTATCAATGTTTTTCCTGGAAAAATTAAGCTGATAAAATTCTGCTATGGTGCATTTTCAGCACTATTTTATTATTTTAAGTTGAGCTTATTGTGTTAGTTGAAGAGAACCAAAAGGACATTTTGACTCCTTAAACGGGGATGCCTGTGGAGAAAGGAAATGTAATCACCTGAGAATAACTGGAATTCTTTCAGGTGTTTTATCCATAGTGATTCTATTCCCTGACTTTCATTCCTTGCTGATATGAGGCTGTACCTTTATTACCTGCATTAGTGAGGGACCTGACCAATGAGGTTTCCTTTATCCCCTTGTTTTGGGGAGGGTATAAATGTCCATGAGACATGGATGGGTGGATGCTGTTATCTGGATGCTGATGGGCCTAATGTGGATAAGCATCTGAACAAATTAACTGCAATGTAAAAAGCTTTTTAATACAGAATATTTTTTTTCATGCTTTAGTTTACACAAACTAAGAAGATTTCCTTTAATTTTTTTTTTTTTTTTGCATGAATGTAGAAAAAGTCAACCCTTGAAAACAGCAGCAGAATAAACAGTAAGTTTATTCTCTTTTCTGGAATATTGCTATAGGCTGGTCTACATCACATGTAAAATTTTTGGCAAGCAGCCATCTGCTGCAGTAATAGCAAGATATTGGATTAGATTGCACATTGCCGATATGCTCCCATTATTTTAATGGGTTTAATGTATTTGGAATGTTACTTATTCGGAAGAATGTAACAAATGTAACATCTCCTGAAGCCTGGCATTCTTCCGGGGGAAGGAGTTCACTGAGTGTGGGCTCTGCCTAATTTTAATGACATGCAGGGAGGTGACAGCTTTCAAAAATGCCTGAAGGGATCATCCAGAATGAGGAGAATCTGCTGATGCCCAGTTTACATTGTCATGGAAGGACAGAGGATTTCCAGAGCCGTAGTTTAATTTGATCTTGATTAGACACAGGGTTTGAATAATCAAGCCTGTGACATAAAAACACCTGGGAAAATTCATTGGTATGAAAATACATTCCAACCTTCTGTGTGTACCTTCAGAGAGCAATTTATACTGAGAGTTCTCCTTTCAAGCTCTTACTGAATAGTCCTCTCATCTTGGCTATCTTGTGTTTTTATCCAGCTCTCTCTCAGCCAGAGACAAATTCTGATCTGCCATCATCCCCATGATGATTTCCCCCCCCTCATTTATCCTGAATCTTTATGGTTTCGTATCCAATGCATTGTTAAGAAATTTACACAATCTAATTTTCACTCATTTTTCAAAGGGATTTTGCTGTTTTTCACACAGCCTTGCTACTTTTCTCATGAACTTGCTATCTTCATGATGACATGATCTGCCTCATCTACTTTCTAGTGATTGCAAAAACCTTTAAGCTCAATTCAGGCTAAACACATTCTGGATACATTTAAAAATACATCACAGTAAGTTCAAACTACTTACTTTCAGAGAAGCAGTAATGTTTCTTGAACTTTATGAAAATCTTCCTTTGTATAGTTAATTTCTGAATTAATTATGTAATGAACCTTCCTGCATTTATTAGGTTCAAACTAAGGATGTGCTCATCAGTATCACTGAAACTGCTGGAAGTTCAGGAAATTGAGTGGTAATGAGTGAGATTTTTCTCCAGAATTTTTTCAGTGTCATGTATGACAGGCTTGTAGTGTTCCCTTTTCAGTCTCTGGGGATGCTGGCATGGCCAAAAACAACCCAAAAATTTAAATGTAAGGATGGAGATTTGGAAAGGAGGATTTAAGACACTATGGTGCTTCTGACTGCAGCTCTTGCAGCAATGTTATGAAGACACACTGGTTAATATATCAACCTTTAATCCCAAAACAATGTTAAATAGCAGCCAGCTGCTATCTATCCTAGATACTTCAGCTGGAATTCTCTGAATATCCCACCAGGAAATGCTGAATCTCTGGCTGGCTACTGTAATCAATGTTTATAAAGTGGAAAAATTCCAGAGGACTAGGAAAACCTACTATTATGTCAATATTTCAAATTATTAAATTGGATCATTAAGATAATTCCAAGTCAGAGGGAAAAGAATGAAAAAGTTGATAGAGAATGAAACATGTAAATATGACTAATACTGATAGAGATTTAGAGAAATACAGTTTGTCAAACGTATTTGATTGCTTAAATGAGACCATAAGTTGGCAGGTAATGGTAAAAGTTTGGATTGATATTCTGAGGCTTTTATAAGGCATTTTGATTTAGAAACCAGAACGACATATAATCAATATGGTTCTCATTAAATGGATTAAAGACTAGCCAGGAGTTAGATCTCAAAATACCTCAGCAAAAGGGAATTAGAACTGGTCAGCTGCATTTTGAGCATGAGTCCCTGCAAGAACTGGTTCTTGATTTTTTTTAATCCTCTCCCCATTTCAATTAGCATTATTGGAGCCATAAATAATGAAAGGATGTAACCGAAGGATGGTCTGGAGTTCTTGAAACCCAGAAAGCAAGACTAGATACCAAACATCCTCTGGCTGTCTGATCTAAGAGCACAGGGTTGGGAGCAGGAAGAATTGCCATGAGTCCAAAACTAGTGCAGAACTCGGGGCTGCTTCATACTGAAGACACCTAAATTCAGTAGATTCCACAATTTCTCCTTAGGCATTTCACAGGCACACAGCATGTACTTGGTATCCAGAAAACCTTGATCATGACTCCTAACCCCACTGCTTGCCAATGGCTTAGGAGTGGTTTATTCAGGTTTCTTTTTAAATATTTTTATTCAGTTATTGCCCAATGCACAGCAATCAGGTTTGCCTCCTTCCTCTTTCTTACTGAGTTTTAAATCTCCTCTACCAAAGGCACTTTTTCAGGGAGTGGAGGAGCCTGCCCAGCCTCTCCAGAGAAACAGGAACTTGTGTTAGAGCTGCTCTCTGTGAGACACGTGGGTAAAACAACCTGGACCTGCTGCACCTGAAGCCAGCAGGCTGTTGTGTGGGTGGGCTGCTATTGGCTCTCTTTGCTTTTTCTCTTTTACCTTTTCAAAAGAAAGGAAGCATTTCTCCTTGGTCTCTAAGCTGGAAACATCAGGCCAGCAGGCAGAGAGCAGCTCCTGCAGTATCTGTGTAAAAATCCAGGACCAGCACTCAGCCCTGTCCTTAACTATCTGCTTGTTTTCTTCTGAACCCTGTCCTGAGGCTGTCTCCCCTCACACAGAGGGGATTAAATATTGTGCTTGGAGTTCCAGCTGCTCCTGCAAGGTCTGCAGACACAAATCTTTATCTACCAATAACCACAGAGCAAGAGCTGGCAACAATAATGAATGAAGCTGGCAGAAGTCAAGTGCAGCCCTTACACCTAAAATTTGTGCTTAAAATGAATCTAAAATCTGTTTCTCTCCATCCTATTGTGCTTGCCCTCCCCACAAAGTCTCTCCTCTGGTCAGAAGGGTGAGCAGTTTATTTTCTTTACTCGTAGTGTAGTTGCATGTGACTCTGGCAACACAAATACTGGCTTTTTCAGACTATTTAAGCAGAGATTAATCATTACATAGTACTTTGTATTGGGAGGCAGTGAGGACAGGTGTCTGGAAATGCAATATACTGGAGAAAAAAAGCCCTGTGATTGTCAGGAGTATGGCAATAACTGAACACTTTTTGTGCATGATGCTAAGTAAGAAGCAAGCCATAAAAGATCTTAAAAGTGAATTCATGGTTATCTGATTATTCACTAGAAAATTATGACCAGCTGGGAAGATAGGGCAAGGAGAAAGAAGGATTAAAATACTTTAATAGACAATCTGTTTATTAAGGCAGGAAAATATAGTTTATTCTTGGTTACAGATATTTAAATAGACACCTTTTAAAGCCCTTATAGCTATGAAAATTTCATGGATAATTATAAAGGATGGCTTAGATGGAATAATGTAAATGATATTTCCATGGATGAATTCAAGCATAAAAATTTTGAACCATATTCTCCATGCTTATGAAAATATCCTCTCAAAGTAAAATGGCTAGCTAAGCAATTAAATATTTAAAAACTGTCTCAGAAGTTAGATTCAATATAGTCTGGAGTGAAAACATCAGTTTCACAAAGGATGTGTTCCACACCTTTGGCTCAGGTTTGTTTTTTTTATTTTTTTTGGTTTTTTTTCTGTGAAAACCAAGTAAAAAATAAACTATTAGTCCTTTAAATTTTTGTTATTCTGGCTTGAACACGTTGAGGAACAGAAGGCAAAGGATCCTGAGCTGTATCTTGGAGCACAGGGCTCCATCCCAGCCCTTCCCTTCAGCGCCTCTGGGCACAGACCAGGTAGGGCTGGGGCTGTAAGGTCATCCCCAACCTTGGCTTCAGCTCTGGGATCACTCCATGAGGAAAATGCAGGTGAAATCGTTGTAGCAACGAGGTGAAAAACAAAAACATTTCCATTCGAGCCAGCTGCTCCCCAAGGCAATGTCTTCTTCCTGAATGGAAAAACAGGTTTTAAAAAGATTTAACATATCTTCAGTCACGTTTTTTTGCTCTTATGTTGAATAGGAATGGTCATTTCTGTGTTCTAGAAGTGCTGTGTGAACCTGGTGGTAATATTTTGTAAGAAGGATAGGTGATAACTTACACTAAGAAACTGATTTTAGAGAATTTGTTGCTCACAAGTGCCACTGGAACCAACTCTGTTGAATTGATTTAGATGCACTTGTTACTTATTGTATCTTGTGTTGAAGTGCCAATCTAGATAGAAGATGCTTTAAAAAAATGACATTGTGAATTTTAGCCTTTTCCCCCTACTATTTTCTTAATTACATCTACTGCCAGTCATTATTAACTGGGAATTATTAGATCTTTGTAAGGAGGGTTTTTATTAGTTTATATATAATAGTGAACTCGTCTATATAAAAGATGTTATGCTAAAATTTGTTATCTCCACAGTGCTTTATATTGAATATCTTCAAATTGAATTATATTGGATACCCTTAAATCAGAAGTGAGGATATCATTCTGTCCATTTATTGTCATCCCTTACACTTTACACACCTCTGGATTTGTGAAAAGGAACAGGGGAAGGAATTGCTCTTACCTAGGGAAAAAGGAATAAAAGCATCTTTCTTGACAAACTGCCCATTACTGTCCAAAAACCTCTCAGGAAAAAAAACTTCTGGATTGCTCCAGTATTTTTCATCAAAGTGAACAGAGTAGAGGTTTGTGATGACCGTGGTGCCTCCAGGAATTGTGTAGCCACGCACAACAGTGTCTTTGGAAGTGGCATGGAAAATGCCCAGGGGGACAATGTTACACAACCTCAGCACCTCGTGCAGAACAGCCTCGGTGTAGGGCATCCTGCTCTTCTCCTCCAAGCTGGGCATTTTGTTTGGGCCAATGACCTGATCGATTTCTTTTTGAACTTGCCCTGGTAGGAATAAAAGCTGAGGTTTATTTTGTAATAGCCTTTTAAAAAATATTTGTATGTATATATATATATATATATACATTTTAAAAGGATACTGAAACATGATATAACTTATATAACAAACAAGCTTTTAAATTTAGACTCTGTATTCCTATCCATGCTTAGTGTTATTATCCCCATTCTGAAACAATGGTGGAATTGATATTAGAGTGATATTTTTTACTCAAAGTACCAGCAGTAACTTTCCAAGTTATCTGAGCCTCTTATCCCCCAAATCCTGGGAGCCCCAACTGAACCAAGCACTGCTCAGGTTTTGGAAGGAAGAGTGAACTGGAGGCAGTGAAACCAGAAACCTGCTCATTTCTAGAATCCAAATTTCTCCTCAAAATGTCTGGGCTAACACTCAGACATTTATTGCTGTTGTACTCCAGAATTACTGTAACACAGCTTTTTATTTTTAAATGCCATTTCTGCTCTTCCAGTATAAGTATTCCTGTCTATCATATGTAAATCTGTTGTGAACTGGGGCACTTAAGATAAAAAGAATTGTACCTAAATTGTTAACCACAACCTGATTTACATTTTTGCTGACACTTGTAGGTTTTTAATTTAGTTTATTACTTTCATATTTAATTACATTTTCTTATTATTTATTAACTACATAGATTAGTCCATCTGCCAACAACAGATCATGCATCACAATGCTAAACTTAAATATATTAGAAATACTTAAAAGTATTAAAGCTTCATAAAAATGTATTCACAAAATAATATGTTAAAATTTTATTATGACACTTGACTTTTGATATCCTCTTTGCATTTAAAACCAGCTTTCCACCTCTGTCCATAATATATCTGGTAAATGATCCAATAGAATAATATATACAAAGCCTTTTTTTTTTTTTTTTTGGATCAATGCACTACTTTGAAAAAGCATTTTAAATTTGCAGTAGGAAAGTGAATCAGTTCCTCAAAATGTCAAATTTCTTACCTTGAATGTTTGGATAAAGAGCCATAAATAACACTGCCCATCTTAAAACATTTGTTGTGGTTTCTGTCCCAGCTATGATGAGTTCTCCAACGGAGAAAATTAAATTTTCTCTTGAATATGTAGATTCTGGGTCATTTCCATTGCAATCCATCTCATCTAAATATGCATCTACGAAATGTCGAGGTGACTGAGGCTTCCTATTTTCAGAGACACGTTCAATAAGCTCATGAAGGAACTCATAGACTTCAGCTGCATTTTTAAACAGCTGCTGGTGTTTCCCAAATGGCAAGATACCAATCCAAGGAAAAGCATTATATAAAAATACAGAAGCACTAGCAGCTAACTCAACGTTTTCACTAAAAATCTCAATCATGTGCTGAAATTCAGTGTCTTCGTATGTGAAACGTTCTCCAAAAATAATCAAATTAGTAATGTTTGAAACGGCATTTGTTATCAAGTGCTTAAGATCAAAGGGTCTGCCTTTGTATGTATCAATGGCATCAAGAAAAAACTGAGATTCTTCTGAAATTTTGTGTTCAAAGGACCTTTGACCATATCCAAAAATTCGAAAGGTATTTACAGCTAATTTGCGGTGTTCTGTCCATCCTCTGCCATATTTACTGTTCAGTAAGCCTGAAAAAATATTTTGATACAGTATTTTATGCAATGCTTTAGTTTTCTTCCCCCATAAGATAATAAAATTATTCAACAAGACAGAAAATGAGACATAGGCCACGAGTGACACAATCCCTTCCAAACAGTAAAGAAGCATCAAGCATTTTATGAAAGGACATCAAGTAGAGAAAATGGCTAAAGCAGATGATTTGTTCATCTATGGGACAAAAATTACAAAAGACATTAGCACTCACCTCCCATGTTTGTCAGCTTCTTAAACAAGGGGAGAGACGGCCTGTCTGCAAAAATTTCACTTTGATGGACAAGGCATTCCTTCACTGCATCATAGCCATTCAGCACAACAGCAGAAATACCTCCAAGATCAAGGCTGAAGATCTTTGAGGGGGGAAAAATAAGGAATAAGAAGTGTCAAACGCTATTACAACCCAATCTCGAGCACAAGGGAGGAAAAAGTGAAACAACACAAAAACACCAATGCAAAATGCAGAGTGGAATGACCTTCACCAGGGCACAGAGGATGACCAGAGGTGAGACAGCTGTGGCATTACACAGCAGAGTCTGTGGTAAGTTATTTACTTTATTAAAAGATAAAATTAATTAGCCCACACTACATTCTGTGCTTTGCTGTGCACCTAAAGAAATCAGCTCTCCAAATGAAGGACTGGGGCCATTTTCATGCAGCCCTTAGAGAGGAGTGAGAGCCAAGGGGTGAGAGCCAGCAATGGAGAGCAGAGCCCAGCCAGGCCCAGCTCCCATTCCCACAAGTGGCTGGCACAAGGTGCTTTGGAGAAAGGTACAATACAGTCTGCAGAAGGCATGTACAGGATAAAAAAAAATAAATTAAAATCTGAATCTACATTGTAAAAATTAAAACTGAGCCTAAAACTTAAGACTGAAACCTTAGATCCCTTTGCAAACATTCCCTCAGCGTTAGAAGTCTGTGTTTTTACCATTACAAATGTTTAGATTTTTCTCCATGTCTCCACAATATGAAATTGTGTTAGCATAATTATACATTCTGTGACAACAGGCTGCCCTGGGAAGTGGTCGAGTTGTCATCCCTGGAGGCATTTAAAAGCTGTGCAGATGTGGCACTTGGGGACATGGTTTAGTGGCAGACTTGGGTTAACAGCTGGACTCGATCTTAAGGGTCTTTTCTGACCTAAATGTTTCTATGAGTCTATGACTATTTTATTTTAGCAAACTTGGTATTTTCACTGTTATAATGGCTCTTCTTTTTTATGTGTCAAGAAGACACTCCCGGTATATTTCTGCAAACCATTTGTGAGTTTTGTATATTTTGATCCAAATTATTTACCTTTATTCCTATATCATACACGATTCTTTAAAAAAAACCCCAAAAACCAAAAAACAACCCTTTGATTGTATTTTTCCAGAGCCACCCAAATGCTGTTCCCAAGCTCTCTCAAATTCTGCAGGATCCTTTCGGAGAGCAGATGACTGAAACTCTGCACAGCATTCCAGGCAAGTAAAAAGCTTGGCATATTTGACAACACATTCCCCTTCCTATTTCCATTCTATTTCTCCTGGCATTTTGCTCGAAGAACCTTTACTTTTAAAATTATTATTATTATTATTATTATTAAGAAAATACTTGCTGGATCTAGTTCGGAGATAACTTCAACGAAGCTCTTAAGAGGAGACTTGGGAAAGTTTCGTGTGAACACGGAGCTTTCCCAGGAGCTGGCCTGGGAGCTGAGATTTTCCCAGGAACAAAAAAAAGGCACCTGCTGCTGTTTGCAGAGTGTGTATTTTGAGAACTCTGTTGTCTATAACGAAAATATCTGTGCAAGAGGCACTGCCTGCTCTGTCCTTAAGCAAGATAGCGTTACGATAAACTTGTCTCTATGTCTCCTTCCCATCTTGAAGGATGGCCATGCTGCTGTGTGCTTTAAAGGGTTAATCCCTTAACTCACAGCGACAGAGACTGGCTGCTTGATGAGAAAAAAAAAAAAAAAAAGGAAAGGAAAAAGAAGAAGATGCGCTGTTACACAGTGACGCTAGCGGGCTCTAAGTATCTGTGAGTATCTCACATACCGAGGGAACTTTGAGGCGCGGTTCCGCCGGAGCGCTGCGCTCCCGCTCCGCTCCCGGCGGGGCGCTCCGTCCGCGGGGCTCCCGGTGCCGGTACCGCCCGGACCGGCCCTCCCGGAGCCGGTACCGCTCCACCGGGCTCCCAGTGCCGGTATACTGCTCCACCGGGCTCCCCGTTCCTGCCCCGCTCCGCCAGTCTCCCCGTGCCGGTCCCGTTCCACCGGGCTCCCCGTGCCGGTACCGCCCACACCGCCCCTCCCCGAGCCGGCCCCGCTCCACCGGGCTCCCGGTCCCGTTCCACCGAGCTCCCCGTGCCGGTACCGCCCGGCCCGGCCCGGCCCTCCCCTCTCCCCCGGGCCGCCGGTACCTGCCCGTGGATCTGGCTCTGCCGCCGCAGGTAGACGTGCGGCTGCTCGGCGCCCAGCGCGGGGATGTTCCCGAGCAGCGGCAGCCCCGCGGGGCCGGGAGGGAAGCCGGGCGGCCGCCGCTGCTTCAGCAGCTGCCGCACCACCAGCGACAGCAGCAGCGCCAGCGCCGCCGCCAGCAGCAGGAGCCAGGTGCCACCGCCCGCTGTCGCTGTCTGTGTCCGTGTCGCTGTCGCCGCTCCCGGCCCCGGCCCCGGCCCCGCCGCCGCCGCCACCCGCATCGGCCCCGCCGCCACCGCCGCCGCTTCCTCCGGCCGCGCCCGCCCCGCCGCCCGCATTGGCCCGGGGAGGC